CAGTATATCAGCACTATTCGTGCAATATATCTGTCAATCTTTATGAAAATTCTTTTTGATGTGTATCTTGGCTCATAAACCTCTACAATGTATTGATATTACCTCAGGGAATGTCCTTGCAGCATCATATCTTTGAAGATGGGACAATAAAAGAAAAATCTTCTAAATTTTCAAGAACAGCCAATGATGCCAAATCTTATTTATTTTTTTCAAAATCCTTGGAATGTTTTTGTGCCTATAATTACAATGTGAGGAAGGCAGTGCAGCATATGGTACAGAGATATCTAATCTCTGAGTCAGAAGGGCAGGGGTCCTTCTTCTGCTATACACTTGACATTTGACTATGGGGGAATTACTAAACCTCTTAGTGTCTGAGAACATGCTTTGATATTACAAGAATTGCTGATCTACGTGGCAGATGTAGCTTCTGTGTTGGAAGTTATCTATACCAATGAAATAACAGATCTGATTCATGAAAACGTATTTTTATGAAATTTCCTTAGTAACAAGGATTCTTAACCTGGGATCAATGGACTTTGCAAAGTGTTCATGTACAAATTTCAGGTGGCCCCCCAAAAGCTGGGACCTAGATGAGAAAAAATATAAATATATTAATATTACATATAATCTTTATTTTCACTAACTTTTAATTTCTTTTGTAATCCTATGAATTTAATTTATGTAAACATGTTATTCTGAGAAGAGTTCATGCCATAAAAGGTTAATAATCTTTGATAGAGAATTTATTCCATTACAACACCAGCCAAAATCTGTCAATAACACGTATGACACGTTTTTTGTGCTTATATTGCTTTTGAGGTACGTGTTACTAAGTCAGGCCTATTTCCTCAGATGGAAGAGCCAGAGAACTATCTTAAAGAGCTCTTTATACAGAAACTCCATTCTGTATAGTAGACTTGGATAGGTGTCACTCACCTGGGTATCTTCTAGTTATAGTGAAAAACGGACACTCTTTTTAAAGGCATCCTCTTTGTGTGCTATTATACCATCAATAATAGTACTTTAAGACTGATTAAACTCTTTTTACACACTATTTTATCTGCTCCTCACAACAATAGTAGGTACTACTACTTATTCTCATTTAGTAAATGAGGAAATGGGCTCAGAGAGCTTTAGTGATTTGTCCAGAGTCACTTAGCTAGCAAATATATAAAGTGGGATTTGAGTACAGGTCTTTCCAACTTGGTATGTTACCAAAAGCTGGGTTTGGCTTCAGAGGACCTGGATTGGTAAACTGAAGTTTACCAATTTCCTCATATGTAAAAATAAGGATTTTGGACTAGATAACCTATAAAGTTTCCATGACTTTGTGTTTATAATTCCAAGTCCATAGTTTTAAGAAATAGGCTATACTGCTTTCACTAAAAACAGAAAAAGTTGGGAGAAGTATGTGTTACCATTGATAAATTATTCCCAATGGCCCATGATGATAGGGTGAACCAGGGAACCATAACAGGGGAACAACATACAAAACAAGAATATAAAACAGCTACCATTTATAAATTGTCATAAAAAAAACCCCACAGTACTTTGTGTGGGTAAAGGGTAGGGGGTCTGCAAGTCATTTGATCAATTTTCTTTCCCTACTAGAAGTATTGGATTTGTCATTTGTATTGTATACTATTAATTAATTATTTTGACCTTATTCATATGTGAGTTTTTAATGCTAAAATTTGGGGATTGATCAAAAAATGGTAAAAATAATAAAAAATAAAAGTTCTAATTTCAGCAGGGGGAATAATATGGTAAGTACATTTAGAAATGCATATAGGTCTCTGAATTTTCCAGCAACTTTGAAGTGATAATTCAAACAATTTCTTTCTGCAGTCAGTGCTATACCACTACTATACAAATTCAACACATATCACTTCAATTAAAGTTGTTGGACTTTCTAAACAACCTGGAAATCTCTTCTTCTCTATGAAGAAACTTTACTGGAGCTTAAATCACCATCAGTGAGAATACAGAAAAAATTTTCATTTGGGAATGCAACTTAAACTTCATGTACTTTCTCTCATTCCTCTGGAATATTTTGCTTTTGAGAAAAACAAAATTGGCCTGGGTGCTGAAATTCTATAGATTAGAGTTGGATACATCTCTTGCCTAGTCAGGGAGGTACCATCTGTTAGGCATTAGGTGAGGCTGGCTCATCAGTGAACCATTTAAATTTGCTGACTTCTAAATTATTTGAAAAATCATTCATCCTCTCTTTTTAACTGAGCTGGCTGAATATTAAAAATCAGTGTCTTCTATGTCAATATTTTAATTGGCTGGTACATGATGAGTTTAATGAGGCCAAAGTTGGAGGGTAGGAAGGCCATCAATCTCTTTTGGAGCCAACCTTGTTTCATGGCCACAAACTAACCCCCAGATCCCAGCCAGTCACATTTCAAATCCATATTGGCTACAAAGGGAACTTACTAAAAGAGGGAAGAGTACAAATGAGTAACTTGAAGATGGGCAGCATATTTGAGGTTAGGAGAATCATTGTGCCATGACTGCTGTTGATTATGTAACTTAAAAATCAGACTAGAAAAGTGTCATCTGTAGTTTGACATAGAACACCTATTGAATGTCTGGGGCCTACTGCCTCTGCTGGTTTTTAGGGTCTTTGGTCCTATCTATCTATTTATCTATCTCTATATCTATCTATACACATACATATATATATGTATGTGTGTGTATATATATATGTACATATATATGTGTGTGTGTGTATATACACTCACACACATACACACATATGTATGAATTTAGGAAATGAACTTGGATATGAACTGTCTTTACTCCTGTCCTACCTATTAGGTAGAACTACAAGCTAGGCAGAACTAAAGAAGGAATATCTATGTCCCTAGTCAACATTAGTGATGCCCCCCGGGTAACTATGAGCAAGAATGGGAAAGCAGAAAAGCACTAGGGTAATAAAGTCTTAATTTTTTTTCTGGGCATTTCCTGGCACATTGGCTCCTTAACTCAGTGTAGCCTCTCCAGAGAACAATGCATTAAGACACTGCAACATTATTTACCTCCGAGCAGAAATCAACATAAACCTCTAGGAAGTTTTATGTATATATAGAAACACACATACGCACACACAATGATTATATATGTAAAGACACACACAGAGTACATGACCTTTGGAATCTGAAATATGCATATATACGTATAAATAGGTATACATGTAATATACATATATAAATGATTTTTTCTTCTTACCAAATGTTTGATATTGATATTTTTGCTTCTTATAATATATGTTCAGATTCTGAAGTTCCTTCTCGATAGCTCATTTTTAGTCAGTGATTGTCTTAAGGATTATGTGCAATGACCTCATGAATGTAGCCATGAAATTTTGCTACTCCCCAATCCCACCATGGAACAGAGCATTGCTTTTCAAAATGATTTTTTTCCCCTTAAATTTACTGCCTGTTCTTTTTTACTTATGTGGTCATGTTTCTCACTGCTTTCCTACCTGGCTTTTTTGTTTTTCCTCTTTGGGGAATTTAAGCCTATTGGAAATGGATTATGTCTAACTCTATAATCCCCCTGGGGACTACAGCATTGTTGTTTTTCAATGCAAGAATATTTTGGGGAAAGTGGTAATATCCCCTTTATGTGATTGAATCCCTCATATTTATGTGCTTTAAAAGCCCTCTCACAAATAACCCTTCCAGTTACTTAAGCACTTTATTTTAGTTTAAAAACAAAAATTGGGTCAATATGAAAAAACAAAAACAAATCACTACTCTAACCACCATTATAATAACAACTAAAGTCCAACAAACTTGTTTTATTTATCGAGTTTTTAAAGAACAATAAAGAGGAGGGCACACATGGCCCATTTTTGAAGAGTTAATGAATTCAAATAAGGAAGTAAAATTTTCCGATCTAGGATGTTATGAACAGGTTAAAGTTGAAAGCATTCTGGTTATCGGTGCACATAAAAAAAAAACCTTGTTGAATTGCCCTTCTGTGCACAGTCCTAAGATTACAAAAATAAAAACAAAATTTGAAAACCCACAAAATTTAGTGTTTGGCAATCACCTTTGTTCAAATATGACCTTTTTCTGGTGCTATGGTTACAGATTCTTTCATCTACTGCTTTTCCTTTGGCTGCTAATGCAAACATCTTTCAGTTTATTTGTTGGTCCAACCTCATACATGGGAAGGACTATCTCATAACTGCAGATAAATGTCAAGACAGAACTTAAACAAAGGCAGACATTCTCTCAGACAAGAATCCCACAGTGTTTGAGAATAAGAAATCTAGGAAAGCTTAAAAACAAACCTTAAAGATAAACATAAAAGTGCATTCTTGACTTACTTTTCTCACTGATCCAATACAATGCACTTGGGTGACAAAGATAATGAATCACAGTACCACTACCATGCCAAAATCTATACTTTTTATTCCTTAGGTTCTCCCTGTACCAGTTCTATAGATGTCCACACAGGTAGGTCCTTCCTTTCACCATTAAGGAACCAGGGCTATTTGGACAAGAGTGATGAAGATGAAAAAGTGCCAGGTATTGCATGCTCCTAAAAACAGCCCCAATTTGTTACAACTTGCAATCCTGATGACAAGTGTCACCTTCTGACTTCCTAGAGAATTGTGAATGAATAGGGTCACCAGTATCTGCCATCTTTAAATCGCTCATCAGTAATGCCAAACGATTACAATTGTTAGCATCTGTTATTGCACCACTTGTGACTAATGCTTGTAAGCTACACGGCTGATAAACATTGACACTATATTTTAAACAACACAGAATCACTCTAAATCCAACGGCTTTCCCCATAGGAAGAATACATGGACTTCACCTTAAAAACTCAACTAATTTCTCCAAGATTGAGACACAATGAAGATAATTCCTCATATCAAAAAACAAACACTTTAAGGTTCTGTATATCTATTGTATATATGAATAATAAAGAAAATCCAAAGACAGAAAGAAAGAAAGCTACTTCTTTTCCATTACCTTGGAAACTCTGTTTGCAACTTCTCTGCCTACAGTCAGTCCCTGAACAAAAGTCCGAGCAGCAATGAAGGCCCTTGTCACTTGAATCTTCAGTTTCCTGGGTACATCTCCAAAGGGTTTCAGCTGGTCTGTATATTTGCTAACACATTCCAGGTAGTCCTCACTGAAGTGATACTGAGGGTTTATGAGTTGGAACATTCTCTCTAGCAGCCGAGCCCAAAAGTCATTCAGCATCTCCTCTAGGTTCACATTACCTCCAGTATAGTATCGTTTTAACTCTGCGAAGAGATCCTGGAATACTTCAGAATTCTGCATATATAGCATTCCATATGTCCGGACAAACATATCATTTAGTGATTTTTCTGCATTCTCTAGGAGCTCTCGAAAAAATTCTAAGGAAAAAAAAAACACAAGAAAATAGAAGCAAAATCAGTTAGATTCAGAAACCCCCAGAGATCTGACTATGCCTAATAAAAGCAAAATAAGATGAAAATACTTGCTTTAAGTTTAATCTGGAGATTTTTTTTTAGCCAGTGGTCATATTGTTAATACATTATTAATAATAAAAATAAACATAAAATATAAATTGAAGATAATTAGCTGTTAAAGCAGAAGTAATATTTTTCTTTAGAAATATTCTATTATCTGTACTATTACTGAGACAGTTGCTGCTAGCTAACAACTATTTAACCTTAACCTTAAGGTTTGCAAAGCATTTTATACATATATATATATACATATACATATACATATACATATACATATATATGTATATACATATACATATATAATATGTATATGTGTATATACATGTATATATACATATATATATTAATATTCTCATTTGATTCTACTATATGAGGTAGATGTTATTATTATGCCCATTTACACATGAGGAAACTGAGGCTGAAAGAGGTTCATTGATTTGCTCAGTATCAAACAGCTAGGAAGTATATAAGTTTTAAACTCATGTCTTCTTGGCACCAGCTCAGCATTCTATCTTCTGTCTTATCAACTAAACATTAGCAGTTTGTAATATTAAATATATGCTGGTGTTATTAAGAAAAAGTGCTTTTTTTCATTATTTAAGTACAGAACACTGCATCAGATGCTTATTACCATTATGATCCTGGGTAAGTCACTCAACCTCCTTAGGACTCAGTTTCCTCATCTATGAAAGGAGGTTTGGATTAGTTGGCTTCAGAAGTCCTTCCAGGGCAGCATTTATGATCCCATGATCTTGTAAGTGGCTCTAATACATAATACAATTTCCCAAATAAAATGCATCAAACATTAATCTACTAATATAAGAAAAATAATTATCTTAATAAATAACTTGATAAGGCTAGCCAGGTACTTTAGCTTAACTTTTCAAAGGGCTTGAAAGTGACCCGGAATACTATGTACAGAATACTTTTAAATCTCATTTGTTCCTCCCAACAACTCTGTGAGGAAGGTAGGGTAGGCTTTTTTTTTATTGCTGTTATTATTATTTTATTACCTCTAGATGAGGAAACTACTTTTGGAGAGGTTAAATTTCTTACCCAAGGTCACAAAGCTAATAGGTGATAGGGTAAAGATTGAAATTTAGGTTTTCTGTTTCTAAAATTAAAAACTTAAACAAAAATATCTGCCAAATGATCATATTGTTACTTTACTGTAAGAAAACTTGTTTCAAATATTGCCACTGAATCATTAATAGTAAGTTGACATGAGACTTGAATTGCCAATATAATATTTTAAGAGACACCCTAATGTCCATATTTAGTAAGTAGTAATATATTATAATAATTATTATCACATTAGTAGTAGCATTGATGATTGTGCCTATTATTATGATGATTAAAAACCAAGGAAATCTTTGAGATTATAAAGAATCTCATAAAGCAGTTATAATTATATAGCAGAAATTAAATGACAGACTAGCTCTAATTAAAAAGTACTAAACACAAATCTCCAAATTTCAAAAGCATGAACAAAAATACTTGAGCCTCAATGTCAATACTTAGTAAAGGAGAGGGCTCTAAGGATATTGGAAGACACTGCAAAGAAAGTAGAAATCATCCAAATGAAAAATACTAATATAATGAGACTAGAAACTAGATTCTAATCATGAGCCTGGGACAGGCTGTTCATTTATCTTCTTTTTGAGGTCAATTATTTTGTTAGGCTTAGGAATTAAAGCTTAATTTATTGAATACAGAGTACTGCCTTCAGCAATGAATAGTCAGTAATCAATAATGTGGTCTAGATTTTTAAAGGGCTAAACAAAAAATGAGGGGAAAAAAACAGTGATTATCCCTTATCCACTAAACCCCACAGATGGGTGAAGAAATGCCTCTCTTGGAAAGGGAGTTTCATTTTCTGTCTCAAGTTCAAAGCAGTATTCCTCCATTTTATTTCCTTTGGTGTCTTGCACATAGGAATGCTTAATTAATGTTGTTTGAATGAATGAATGATGTCTCTCCCAGAGATTGGATTCATACATCTTTGTGCCTCAGTAAAAGCAAAAAGGAATCTCACTTCTGATAACCCTGATGAATCTGGTTTTGTCTTTTCAAAACTCAAGCATTCCACAAACCCCCATTAAGAAGAGACTAATAATTGGGAATTATTTAATGGAATAAAAACAAATATATTGTAAAAAAGATGATATACTAGAATCAAAGACAGAACAGACCATGGAGCCTAACTTGCTCTTTTAAAGATAAGGAATCTACAACACATGGAGGTAAAATGACTTATCCTAGTTATATGGGCAATAGAATTAAGAATAGAACTTGGGTCTCTGGACTCCAGAACCCATGCTCTTTCTAATGCACTAGAGTTTTTCTATTTTATGTTCCTTAATTCAGGATCTCTTTTGGTATCCCTTTAAATCACAAGCCTAAGAGTTTCCTTGGATGTTTAATCCTTTGTGTAACCTTGTATCAAATAGAAAAGTTTGCTATTAGCTTCGCTGATCTTCGAATGTCAAACTATTATTCTCTGTACAAAGTCATTATATGGTTTAGTGATCTTACAGTTAAAGCCAATATTTGGTGTTGGAAGACACTAATGTATCAGCCAATTATGACAAATGCTGCAACCTTAAAAAGCATTGATCTTTGTTCAGGCATAAGGCAAGGAATTCAAGGTTCTATGGCAGAAAAGGGAAAAAAGTAATGTTCTATAAACTCTGGTGCATTTATTTGACTTTCAGCACGCTCACTTACTTCTTGAAGCCTGGCTTCTTTTGGAATTGGGAAGATTATCTTAGTCTTTAAGCATACCAAGATAAAGATTTAGAAGAAAATAACAAAATCTGTATTGTTGACAAAGTTTTAAATGTAAACAATAGTGTTGAGTTGTAAACTAGTTAAGTGGGAAAAAAATCCAAATTGTCCTTCCATTCCCAGTTTCAGAGGGCAAAGCTCAAATTGGATTAAGCCTTCAGTCAACAGAGAAAAAAAAAACTCATCTGCAGAGAATGTTTGGCTGAAAGAAATGCTACTTGACTCCTTTTTTCTCCAGTCACAAAGCATTCATTAAAAGTGTTTGCTTTGGACACCACTTTGCCTCCTTAGGTGAACAAGAGACCCTGGTTAGGTCTTTTTAACATTTGGGAGGATTTTATTCATGGAGTGGGAAGTTCTGGAGGCAAACACCTGTTTGCCCAGGGCAGAATGCCTTAAGTGAAAGAAAATCTTGTACATAAAACTGCTATAGCATTGTGAGGATGTCTGATGATTTGGGAATTCCTCTTCAGGATATAGTCTAAGGATATGAAAGAAAGAAAGGCTCTAACCAAGGAACTTTACTAAACGACAAGGATAAACAGGTTCCTAAAGTGAGTTAGAGGAGGAGAAAAAGAAAAGGAGTCCTTCAAAGGGTCTCTGGGACTGCATTCAGCACAGAACCATAGGAAAGTCTTTCCTTGTACAAAGTGCCACAAAGTGCCTGTTTCCTTATTAATTACAGGGGATTTCTATGGTGAAGAAAGTAGGAAGCAGGAGAACTCCAGATTGCTTTCATAATGAACAACAGCTTCCATAGTCTCCTGTTCCTTGCTGTAGCTTACCAATACATCTCTCTTCAAGGATGGCTTACATTAGCAAGAGTTTTCGCAATGCCACCAAAATTCCATCCGCTCGTTGCATACAATACTACTTGTGCAGGAAGTCTGCTTAGCCAAGTGGAAACTGCAATGACTATACTGTACAGAATGCCAACTGTCTTCCCAAGTGAAATGAGCATATAAAGTTTGACTTCCTGAAGGTAGAAACATCCATTTCTAATAAGAGTCAATCCTAGGGTATGATAAATCAAGAAGTTCATGCTAAAACTTGCACTTGTTTCTTTGTTTTAGAGGAGAAAGCAGGGGGTCTTACTAGGTAGCTGAAGAGTGATGCAAAAATGAATCTACTAAAAAAGTTAGAGAGGATTGTGAAACTTGATGCAAGAAAACAAAAAAGGTAATTGTCCATTAACTCTACCTGTCTACTACAAGGATTTTTCATGCCTGACAGGGTATTACAAGCCTATAATGTCCAACCTAAATATGCTAGTGGATAACATATGGTCTCTTCTCATTCAATTTAACACATTTATTTTATTTTGTTTTGTGAGGCAATTGGGGTTAAGTGACTTGCCCAGGGTCACACAGCTAGTAAGTGTCAAGTGTCTGAGGCCACATTTGAACTCAGGTCCTCCTGACTCTATCCACTGCGCCATCTAGCTGCCCCTTTTTATTTTATTTAATTTATTTATTTTTGGAGCAAATATTTATTAAGTACTTACTCTGTGCTAGGCATGTCATCAAAATAGCTGACACACATAAAGTGCTTTCAGGTTTACAAGTGCTTTTAGGTTTACATCTGTACACTAAATAGGCTGGTGATGTAGTGGGCCAGGGAGGCTACTTTATTCCTTATAAATGAGATAGGAGAGTGGACATATTAGCTGTGGCAAGGTTGAGACACCTAAGAAGGGATGTATATGATAACTTCACACACACACACACACACACACACAAACACCTTTTATTTCAGCTACAGAGACACTCAGTCAAGTCTTTCCTTATTGAAGTGTTGGTTTTTGGAGTTGCTGGAGAGCTAGGGTTTCTTTGGGGATGGGGGAAAGTAGAATGACACTACTTGCCAGGAAGGTGGGTGATGAAAACTTACAGTTGTCTTAGCATTAATTTCTTTCTTAAATGTTCTGTGTTTCTAATTTTATTGTTAGCTCTGATTTGCTAACAGGAATACAACTTCTATATATCTGGTCTTATTTGATCCTTAGTATCCCCATGAGATAAATAGGCATTATTATTCCTATTTGGGGAGATGAGGAAATTTTAGTTTAGAATGTTTAAATGATTTGCCCAACATCTAAAAGATAGTAATTATCAGTT